AAAGCTTTTAAAAGGTTTTATGGCAGACTTATTGGGGACATTTCCAAATTTGACCATCAGTGACAAAAATGAAAAAAGATGCAGTTCCATATTTTGACTAACTAGCCTTTGCATTTGTTTCCGGGTTCAGGGATGGGCAGAATAGACTAACCTTTGATGTCCTCTGTCAGTCGATGTATAGTAGCTATTACTCAGCAATATTCCAGCTATATGGAGGCGGTCTGTAAATAATCGAGTCTGGACCAGACAATCCAGTGATGAACAGCATGAGCATCGATCTGTGCAATTGGGAACCGATGACATGTGTAAACCGAGTCAGCGAGCCTGACCACCCGATCCCGTTAGTCGCCTCTTACGACAAGCATAGTCACCTTTTGTGACAAGCATGGGTTGTTGAAGATCTATTCTACCCCGGATCTAGCAATGGTAGAGGCATATGGAAGTGGTCCATGGTATATAGAGCCATGCAAACACCAACACCTACAACTGTCATGTTAATTTTGCCTTTGCCATGGCCAACCCCAGCAGCACATTGTGTCCACTTTACTTGGTTCTTCCACTGCCACTCTTTAGATATGAACATTGAAGACAGCCCAGATGATGACCTAAGTAGAACAACCAGGTAATCAACAAGCGTGTGCAGTGAAATTTCAATTTCACACGTACAACTCGCACACCTGGCTGTTCTAACAGCAAGTGGTCCCCCCATCGTAAGAAATAGCTGTAAGTGACAACAAAATAATGATCGTTTGTCAAACGTTTTATTCGGGGTGTCCAAAATTATGAGACAAATCATTAGAGTTGGTCAGTCTATTTCATGTGACAAAATTTGGTTTTGTTGGAATTATTAGATTTGGTGTTAGTGAGCAGTTCATTGATCTCAAATGAAGTCAAACGGACTAAAGATACTTATTCAATTTGACCTATGAGTTGTATTTTATCAACACAAGTGAGGTGAGGTGACATGGGGTTTAATGTCATACTTGAGAATATTTCGCTCATATGACCACGTGCATGCGTGTGTATGTGTATGTGCGGCTGCTTGTACTAGCCCAGACTTGAGCTGGTTTTATAGTGCTAGCCCACTGAGATGCCATGCTGCAGTGAAGCATGAATACCCCACACAGACACTGACTCCGAGCCGACCAGTCCTTGTTGTACCTATAAATGCCGAGCCCCATGCAGGGACCAACAAGTACCAAATTTTAACGTCTTATGGTATGACGAGGTCAGGGATCGAACCCTCGGCCTTCCGCTCTCAGGGCGTCTAACCACTACACCACAGAGGCGGTCCCTGTGCACAAGTCATCACCATGGCTGTAATGCATGACTGTGGCTTTGAAGTCAACATTCACCAGATTTGGCACTATCAGGTTTTTAAGGATTCCAAAAATAAAAGAAAGATCTCGCAAGCAAGATCCTGCCACTCCCGAATCTCAGGAAGTGTCAGCAATGTTGGTGAAACTTATCAATGATTTTTAGTAGTTTTCTTGCACTGGGCTAACAGCTCAAAGATGATAATCAGGGAGATAAATATACTGAGTCAAAAAAGAAACTTCACATTCTTTCTTCAGGGCACTATAAAAGAAAAAGAGATGGTAAGATGGTTAAATTGTTATTATTTCATTGCTGAGATCTGTGTGATGTACTCGATACACTGACAGAGCCATAATCAGTTCCATTAGGCTACACCCCCGTTCCAAAACATGGGTATACAGAATGTCAAGTCACAATATGGACGTCGAGAATGGAGATTGGCAGCCCGCAACAGATTTCGAATGGTCTGTGAGGACAGTCGACCTCTAAACATTTCAGCCCTGGTTCGTGTAGCCGGCAGAAATCTGTCACGTAGGTGAAGTAGGATGATTTGACGTCACACGTGGACGACCCGACCTTGGGCGATCAGAAGTGGTGCCAGTTTATTTATAGACGACCTCGCAAGTCATACACAGTACGACGGCTGCATCCCATTGCTCTTGCGACGTCAATAACTGATCTTCCCGCTTGCAACATGCCAACGGCACGTTCACGTTGCACATTTGACAATCGTGGCATTTCAAGTACCGTTAGAACTGTGGTTTAAAAGTGTTTTTTCAATTCTTGAGTCCAATGCAAACACGTGCACATGAAGAAAACTTCGATGCAAAGATCACGTGATCGACTGCACGTGCAAAACCTGATTTGGCACTAACGTCATTTGCACGAGGAATGGATGGGTTTGAGTGGGTTTTGCTAACGTTTTTCTAGACTCGAAAGATAGGGATCCCATTTCAGATACATAGATGTATCATCAGAGAAAAATTATTCATTATTTTTCAAATTACATTTTGTGAAGTTTCTTTTTAGACTCAGTATATGTTGCATTGTTGTTCATAATAGAAATAATGTCAATCACTGGAAGGTCTGGCCCACAATTGATCTTTTTTTACAGTGTGCCATCACTGAGGTTGGCATTCAACAAACACTAATGTTTCACACCTGTGGTGCAACTGCTGAGAGAGTTTGACTGAGAACACTTCATGTAGCAGGGTAGTCTGATGTAATGCTGTTACCACCATGGTGGAATGCCTAATAATCAGTATAAATCTTGGGTTTAAACTCAAAACTGTGTGTCATTAACATGTATGGCACAGCCAGGCATACAAGACGCAAATCTGAACTGTAAAATGTGGCACAGGCCCTCGAGTCTTTGCGAGCATTAAAGATTAAAAAACAAACTTGAGATGACCCCGACTCAAAATGCTTCACAGTAGAATAAATCATGATTTATTGTACTGTGAATCATTTCCAGGCGAGCGTCATCTCAAAATCTTTTATTTTTAAATCTTTAATCCTCGCAAAGACAAGGGCCTGTGAAATGTGGTGCATTGCATGACTGAAGCACCTGTGTCCCCAATGGGGCAAATGAGTAAATATTGCTTTGCTTCGTAATTTCAAAACTATTCATAGAACAGAATTAAACAGCAGGACCCACTTGCATAAAGTGATCATAGTGCTAGACTTGGGGGAAGTCAGTGTTAGAGTATGCGACTTCCAATCACTGTAGCACTGGTAAACCATGCGCAAGTGGGCCCTGACGGTAGGAAGGCATTCCAAGAAATAGAATAAAGACAAAACTCAAAATATATATTTAAGTTGTATTGTTTCATAGAATATAAAAAAGATATACATTTTTAACAAAGGAATATGTAATGTTAGCACAAATGCATGTTTAAAATATCCAAAAGACAGGTTATAAAGATCTTCACCATACATCATCCTGTCTGACAGTGCATCATCTTCAATCATAAATAGCACCAATCAAAACCACTCAAAATAATGTAAATACTGCACTCTTATATAAAAAAGGACCTGAAAATTCAAATATATCTTCACAGAAAAAACACGAATGACAGTTAATACATGCTAAAGATGCATCCTTACATGTACATTAGATGCATAAAGAGATTCGAGTAAGGATGCTTTGAGGGTATGGCTATTTGGGTAAGAGCCCAGCAGGTTTGGATATTTGGGCAAGGAAACCCTGCAAGTATGGATATTTGGGCAAGGAAACCCTGCAAGTATGGATATTTGGGTAAGAATGCCTTGAGGGTATGGATATTTGGGTAAGGAAACCCTGCCGGTGTGGATATTTGGGATGCTCTGAGGTTATGGAAATTTGGGTAAGGGCGTTGAGGGTAAGGGTGACTTAAGGGTATGTATATTTGGGTAAAGATGTCTTGAGGGTACAGATATTTGGGTAAAGATGTCTTGAGGTTACAGATATTTGGGTAAAGATGTCTTGAGGGTACAGATATTTGGGTAACAATGTCTTGAGGGTACAGATATTTGGTTAACGATGTCTTGAGGGTACAGATATTTCGGTAAAGATGTCTTGAGGGTACAGATATTTCGGTAAAGGTGTCTTGAGGGTACAGATATTTCGGTAAAGATGTCTTGAGGGTACAGATATTTCGGTAAAGATGTCTTGAGGGTACAGATATTTCGGTAAAGCTACAAAAGGTATGGATATTTACATATGGATGCCAAAAGGTAGTGATGTTTGGGTACGGATGCAATCTGGGTATGGATGTTTTTGGTTAGGATGCCTTGTGGGTATTGACACTTGGATAAAGGCACATCAAGGGTAAGGACATGGAATAGAAACACAGTTTGGTTGAAACAAAAGCAGTACATAGGAAGTGCAGTTGACTATGACAAGGTTATGGTCTTAAGGCAGTAGGTATGGTATGGACAAGGTCGGTTGTGGTTGGAAAGGTCGTTTCAAATCAAGGTCTTTCTTTAATGGAGCGATGAAGTTGATAACACTGCAATGACGTAGGGGCAAGGGTAAGAGTGAAAAGACAATATTGAAAACAACATTAAAATAAGAGCATATATATATTTCAAACAAAATATTCTTACAACAAACTGATCACCTCAGAAGCTCACAAGTGCTTGAATGGTTGCCAGGTATTCTTCCGTGCACCCTATCCGGCTGGATGTGGCAAGAAATGAACTCAATATTGGTGGTAGAACACTACTGGTCAAATTAGCCCCTTAATACCAAACTACCCTGTCTGAATAATTTATAACACTCTCAAAGAGTGGGATATTGCTCAAACTGTATCTTATGATACTGTCTAAAACAAGACATTATCCCTACTTGTCTTCAGTCAAGGTTTGGAGGAATAGCTTTTCACAATAATGCCTTTACTGGTCAGTTCAACTCAACTTACAGACACACATCTGAATGCATTTATGTTAAACCGTACGTATGACTGACAAAAAATAAGGAAACTAATGAGTTTGATGTATCATTGAGGTGTAAACTTACTGTGATGTGATCTGAAGGCAACATGCAATCACAATGAAACCTCATTAAAAGTAAGTGCATGTGCATACAGAAGTGTAAGCGTCTATAAGGGACCTATATATCACTAAGGGGTCGTTCATAATGTATGGTATGGGGGAAATGATGTTTTAAGTGGGGTCACCCATTTTGTTCTGGGGAGCTAGGGGTCATCAATTTTGTACACATGTACTAGGGGGAGGGTCATCAATTTTGTACATAAAAATATGTTTAAAGGTATGCTTAAAAATTATGGGGAGGGGGGAATCATTGATTTTGTACGTGACATGCTGGGGAGTCATTTATTTTGTACAGAAATTTTAAGGGGGGTCATTCACATTGTACATGCTTCTCCATCACACACACACAAACACACACACATTAATTATGAACGGTCCCTAATGTATGTCAGCTAAATGCATGCTTAAACTGCTGCCATGACAGTGTCTGAAGAAAAAGATGGCAAATTCTCTTTGGCTGAATTTCTGGAAAGTCCAAAAGTGTATGTTGTTGAGTGTGAGACAAGCATTGTCAAATCAGGCCTGAAGAAAATACACCTAAGTCCATCATTACATTAATTGCACTCTGCAACAGGTTTAAATCTGCTCCTTCCATCAATAGATAGTTTTGAACAATTAACATGAAGGTGAATTTCAGCCACTGAAGGCCGACTATGCAGGAGCCAGGAAGCATGGGGTCCTTGGGGGCATAACCTTCACAGAATAGTGTAAGACAAGACACTGAAACATTGAGTATTTATCCATGAAGATGTTTCTTGGCAACTGATTTGTCAATAGCAGACTGTTCAATCTAACGTTTTCTTACTGTTGAGACATTTAAAAATGTAGATATTGCAGCCATTATGGAAATGGAAGTGCAATATGATATTCGCCCAAGGTTGGTATATTGCTATGAGATTAAATGGGTATTTTGATAAGTTGACAAAATTTGAACTGCAAGATACAACCACACCACATAAAGCCATTGTCATCATTGAATGAGAAGGCATATGGATATTGGGCCGTCCCCTGACATATCCCCAATAGAGTGAGTGACACCAGAAATGGGCTTCACAATTTGTGTCCATGTGGGGAATCCCCACCCAGGTCTTCCGCGTGACAAGCAAATGCTTTAACCACTAGGCTACCCCACCGCCATCCCTGATAGAACATCAAAAGGATGTTCTCAGACGGAGAGAGGCCCAGCCTGGGGTAGCTCTTCTGGCATAATGGCGGAAAATACCATGAGCAACCATATGCAAACATTTTAACAGTATGCCAGCAATTTATAATATACTCATTGACCAATTAGACAAAATATATATTGACCTACATTCCTGAAATTACTTTCAGACATTTATTGTCATTACATCTTCAATTTCAGTCTTCCAGTTTCCTTACTTTTTGTCAGTAGTATATGCAATACCCAACCACTATAATGTTCTTTCTTACATTCCCTAATGTTGCTATTGGTTTTCACTGGACCATGGTCTACTTAGGCTGTCTTTTCAAAGGCGATCCCAACTGAAGGTTGCACACCTTGCATTTGGTATTCTTTGGGATACCCATAAGAGAGCTATGTCCCTGTCCAAATGTTTCAACGTTTTCAAAATATGCATTGTTCCTGTGTCTGTCTAAGAGCCACTTAATGTCCACATTTTCAGTGTAAAACACTTCAATATTCAAGCAAACCGAGCATGTGCATGTGAATACCTGCCAACCATACGAACAGTTTTTCTTATACAAGAAGGGGTTGTTGAAAGGATTCAGCTGGCGCAAACGTGTCTGACAAAACCGATCTGCCTCTGAACCCTTCCTCGTCATCACAAGAGTGACATAGTGAGGGCCCCTACTACTTGTGCAGTAGAAGTCTGTGAAATACAAGCAGGTGTTCCCATCAAACAGAACCTCCGCAGGAACATACAGACGCTTCGCACCAAAGCAGGAAGTAGATGGAACTTTCCCTGTGGAAAACTTGACCGAAGCACTGAAAAACAAACCATTGAGTTTCCCATTGATGGGTGATAACTGGTCACCATTGTGGTCCTTCAAGTAGGGCTTCATGACTCCATTGTGGTTGTAGAAGATGTCTCCGAAGTAGGGTGGTGGCTTGTTCCTGTAGAAGTGTTTGAGGTGGTGGTACTTGGACTGACTCAAGCTGATGAACTCCTCGGCCATTTCCTGTAGTCTCTCAAGCTGTTCAACGGTCAGCGCTGTGGATTCAAAGAACAGTTGTGTACAACAGTTGGTAAACCATGACAAACTTCTCATGTGTTCTTGTAACATTTGTGATTAAACGTTTTCAGTAAAGTAAAGACTCGAGTACATTATTGGGTTCTAAAGTCATAGGAGGACACAAAGTATGTGAGCTCGATTAACTGTTGTCAGACTTCCATTTTTGTAGAAGCCACAGCAGCTGTGTGGGTTAGATCACTGACTTTGGGTGCTGGCGATTAGATGGGAGTGTGGGTTTGAATCACAGATGGGACTGGGAAAAAGAACTTCAAATTTGTACTCTACTAAGAAGTGTAATCCCATGTTACATTTGACATATGACATTATCTTTCCATCTGATTTCAGTTGAGAATGATTGTATAATAGGCCCTTTAAAACTGACGAGGTAAGGTAAGTCATGATGGCGGAGTGGTAATTTATCATAGGGGAGATTCTGGGGAGGGTTGTGGAATGAAAAAGAAACATTTTTTCACATTTCTCTTTCTCTAGACCATGCAACTCCACGCCTTTAACCCCCACCCCCACCCCCAACCCTCACAAAACCTATTAAATTATCAGTCCACAGATGAATTGTGAAAGAAGTACACGTCAACATTCTCAATTTTCTTTCACCAACATCAGTCAATTTCCATTCAATCTGAACATGCTGAATAACTACAGTTCATAGCTAATGAGTGAGCGAGTTTAGTTTAAGTTTCATTCTGCTTTTAGTAATATTCCATGAGGACACCGGAAATGGTAGGACATGGTTATATATAGACAAGGTTACATATACACTGAGATTAACAGAAACGACAAACAGGACAAAAAACAATGAGTGAGAGTGAGTTTAGTTTTACGCCACACTCAGCAATATTCCAGCTATATGGTGGCGGTCTGTAAATAATTGAGTCTGGACCAGACAATCCAGGGATCAACAGCATGAACATTGATCTACGCAATCGGGAACCGATGACATGTGTCAACAAAGCCAGCGAGCCTGACCACCCGATCCCGTTAGTAGCCTCTTACGACAAGCATGGGTTACTGAAGATCAATTCTAACCCGGACCTTCACAGGTTGATGAGGGATGAAGTCATACAGACGTGGCCAAAAGTTCATGACAAATGAGTATGGTTTTACACCGCTTTTAACAATATTCCAGGGGGACACCAGAAATGGGCTTCACACATTGTACCCATGTGGGGAATCAAACCCGGTGCTTCAGCTTGACAAGCAAACACTTTAACCACTAGGCTACCCCACCGCAATTATAGCTAATGAAATAAAGTTTACTCAATGTACCAGTATAGGATTCTCAAAAATGAAATTTGAATACTTGGTCAATTCTTGAGTCATTACCATTGTTCTTTTAACCTAAAAGAATAGAAAGCTACAATAAAATCTCACATGTGGTAAAGGTGAGGATGTTGGAGACACCCTTGATACTGAATGTTCTTAGTGATGCAGTTTCGGTGTCCAACTCCAACATACGAGCTTCATATTTCTCAGATGCCACAAGTGAGAAAGGTATGTCCAATCCACCATTCTCTGTGTGTCCCCGGATAAAGTAGACCTTCCCCGACTTGAAGAACCGCAGCAGCAGCAACATTTCCTTGCGCTCATGGTCAAATCTTGGTGGACTCTCAGTTTCCACATTCTTCAGACCCTTCTTCTTAGCTCTGGCTATTCTTCTCTGTCTATTTTTAGCATGTTTAGATGATATATTACCACCAACTGTTGTGTTACTAATTTCACTAAAAGGTCTCTTCTTTCCAGGCTTAATATTCTCAGCCTTGTCTTGAGCTGGGGCTTCAAAGACTCTTATCTCACCATTTTTTATGCTTTGATTTCTTCACAGGAGCTTGCACAGTTTCATCAAACTCTTCAAAACATAAAAAGGCATTCCCTTCAAAGTCACTGTCTGACCCAGTGAGATGGTCTCCGATAGAATCAAGGACAAGAAAAGAAGATATATCTGCAACATTTTCACTGGAAACAGAATTGCGACAGGCAACAGCTTCACTGGGAGTAACAGCACAAACTTCAGCAACATCACCTGTGGTGACACCATACCTGGTAGCATCATCTGTGGTAACACCATGTCTGTTGGCTTCACCAAGGGTGATGCCAGAAGTTCCCATGTTGGCACCATCCAAAGCAGTAAGGACAGTGTCATCATATGACCCAAGTGTCTCAATGCCCGACTGGGCAATATTTTGGTTCACCTCACGGAGTGTGGTTGTGGTGCCCAGTGAGGTGTATGTGCTCTCTGTGTCAGTATCATCTGTGGAGGTAGGCGACCCTGACAGCTCAGACAAGGAATCTGAACATATTATAGGGTATAACGATGTGTGTGGTTTGTTGATAGCCTGAGAAACATTACTTGAAGGCTTTTCTATGCTGATGTTGTCTTGTGTGGTATATTTACTCTTGGTATCCAACTTGCCATGTTTCTGTTGATTGTTCACTGGGGTGGTGCCCAGGACTGCACCGATAATGTCAAGTGCATTTTTAAAGGTTCTGTCTACTGTTCTGTCCAGTAAAGCACTTGAGTCTTCTGTTTGGAAAATGGGGTTCTGCACAGTGTACAAGCCTGTATATGCTGTAGTAGGGGGTTGAAAAGCATTGCAAGCAGATTGAAGAAGGGTCTGGGCAAGTGTGGATGCATGTGTTGGTGTGGCAGTGCTTGTAGTGATCATTTTATTGTTGAGAGGTCTGTCGGTCACAGAATGATGATGAGGTTTATGTTTCTGAGTTTGGCCCTCTGGATCTTCAACGCTCATTTTGTAGTGGGTGTGCACCATACGCGTAGGGTGCATTTGAAAATATTCCTACAAGAAAGAAAATATTTTATTCAGACTGATCTATTTGGTACAATGCTATATTATAGGTAATATAATCAGAATGGTCACAGCTTGGGTGAGTGAGTGACATTTTACAATTAACCATCGCTCATTGAAATGGGCTTCACATGTATACTACTCAAAAGTTAGGGTCAAAGGTAGATTTCAGCATGACATTTAATTCTGCATAGCAAACATATGTGGGAATTAAACCTGACTTCAGCATGCCAAGTGAATACTTTAACCATAAGGCTACCAACCGTACCCCTGGTCATCTTAAAAGAAACACTGGGTGATTGGGATGTAGCCTGCTCTAGAATCCCAGAGGAATCAAGAGGTAACAAAGTTACTCTTCTCATACTGAGCTTAGTTACAAATTAGCATCAAACCTTCATCACAAAAGCATCCAATAGATTACGATCACAGGTCTTTCTCCTCAGCACTAAAGTCTCCCACTGTGAATAATCTGGAAAAATAAATGCAAACAAACTCAAAATGAAATTTTTGGAGTATAATTGATATTTTATACTTATCCTGACTCATGCTCTTTTGCTTGTCTTCTTCTTCTTGCGAACATAGTGGAACACTTGTATCTCCTTAATTGAAGCTCCCTTCAATGTAAAATCACTAATTAGTACTCACCAAGAGTTGCCTCCCTTTGCCCCTGCGCGGGAAAGGCGGCGCCACCTTCTGGCCTCATGCTTCACTCTCTCCTGATATAGCGAGCCCAACACTTGAATTTACAGGGAAATCCAAAGTGTTATGTGGGGAGGATGGGAGGGGAGATACCTCATGAGTCAAGATAAGTATAAAATATAAATTTTACTCAAAAAATACATATTTTCCTTATCCTGACTCATGCTCTTTGCTTGTAGAATCCTACGGAAACGGAGGTGGGAAAGAACAGAATACTTTGGATTTATAAAATTAATTAGTGATTTATATATATATATAACTGTAATAACCCCTTAACGGGAACTTCATAATGGCACTGACTTTGGATAATTCCTGCTACTATAAACCATAAGTTTATACACTGCCATAGATGGGGTATTACAAAATAATATACTATGATAATAGCAATAAAGATATCAAAGCGACTCCCATATGGAGAAGCTACCCAACTGAACATAATCATCAGTACAAGCTTAAGGCTGAGTAGACTAAGCATATAAATAGCCCTAAAACTCCGTAGAGTTATAAGCTGGATAATACTGGTATGAAATATACATAATAATCTCTCGTAAGACTATGTGTTAACGTCTCACGAGGGACTGTCAACTGCTGTCACGAGGACCATGGGACCGAAATGGTGAATACCTGAGACGTCCTCGGTGGTGATATCTCTCAGATAGTGATTAGCAAACACCATGTCGGAGTTCAAAAGCAGCCTTCCATGATGGTATTTAAGGAACAGTTACCATGTAGCGCCGAGTGTGGAAAGCCAATGATCTCATGGGGATTTGATGCTTTGGAGGGTCTAGTCCTGCAGCCTTGTAGGCGAAAGTATGACAGTTCTTATCCATATAGATATGGTGGTACGAGAGACTTCTGTCTGAGTTGTTGCCGATAAGGGATGAATAATCGTTTGAGAAGTCAGTCAAGCCTTGTTTTGGAACGTCGTAAATAGATTTTTGAGAGCTCTGACCGGGCATAGAGATAAGTCCAGTGTATCTTGAGATCCGAGAATCGAGGAGAGTGCAGGAATATGGAATAATTTGTCTGGTTGACCTGGCAATTGATTTTTTGGCGATGAAATCCCATCTTAGTCCCAAGTGAACTGTGTTTTGATTGTCATCAAACTGTATCCTCTCATAATCTAGTGCGTGAATTTCTGACATCCTGGCTGCCGTTGCTAGAGATAACAGGAATAATGTTTTCTGTGAGAGAAATTCAAAGGTTGTCGATTCCAACGGTTCATAAGCCTCACTTGTGAGGTGTTGGAGCACTATATTCAGATCCCAAGCTGGGGCGTGGAACTTCCGTTTCTGATCTTCCAATCGGAAAGCACGTAAGTAAGGCCAGTAACTCTGGCGTCTTGGTTAGCTTGACACCCTGCCTCTCATAGTTATCACAGAACTAAGCGCGGCAAGATATGTTGACAGTGTCGAGCCTTTTAAATGTTTGTTTTGGCGTAGGTAACACAAATAATCTGCCACTTGTGGATGTGTAGCATCTCTCGCTGTAAATCCCTTATTTGCTGCGTAATTTTCGAAACTGTGCCACTTGTCGTTGCGTACAAGTTACGCATGGTGTAGAATAAGCGTAAGGCAAAGCTGCGACTGCTTTTGCCGCTCTGGTTGAATATCCTCTCTTGTTTAAACACATTTTAATACAGTCCATAATGAAGTTGGAATACTTCTGGGTTTCCGTGCACCTGTTTGGTGTGGGATGTACTAATAGATTCAAAAAGCTTTGGTAGCTCTAGTGTTGGTTGACCGAGTTCTTGAATTAGAATGGGAAACCACGTTCTGGCTGGCCAGTAGGGTGCGACCAAAGTGAGTTGGAGGCTCTGTGTTTGTCTGATTTTCTGTAACACTTGAGGGATTATCGCTGGCGGCAGAAACGCGACGCATTGAGGCCTTCCCAGGATATGCTTAGAGCGTCCGCTGCCCATGCTCGTCGGGTCCAGGACTGGCGATCACGAATGTCGGGTAGCTGATTGTTGAAGCGCAGGGCGAATAGATCTACTAGCGGCGCTCCTATTTGCTTGATAATCTGTGCAAAAATTTCTGTATGGAGCATCCATTCTGTCGGGTGACGGTAGATGTGGCGAGAGTCGTCTGCTAGTACATTCTTGGCTCCGGGAATGTGACATGCTCTGACATATAAGTTGAGATCGTCCGATTAGATGGAACAGTTGAAAGCATAAAGTCAATAGGTTCAGTGATCTCGTTGAGCCTTGGTTGTTCACATAAAACGCCACCGGCCGAGTTGTCGGTATGAATCATCAGATGCTTTTGTAGAATGGTGCTCCAATGAAGTATGGCGTTGATTACCGCTTTCATCTCTAACATGTTTATATGGAGCTTGCTTTCTTGCTGATTCCATAACCCTGAAGCCGTCCGGTTGGCGGAAATGAGCTCCCCAACCCTGGAGCGTACGCGTCCTACATATAGATGGGTTTTGAATTCGGCTCTGTTAAACAAATACCTTCAGACATTCGACCTCCTGGTCCACCATAGTAGATGAGGTCTGAGGTGTTTCGGTAGACTGAATGGTTGTAGGTCGTCGAGATGAGCATTGATGAAGACCTGTAACCGCGTAACTGTAGTTTGCCTCTGACTGTCATGTCTTGAGCTGACGCGGAGGAGAGACCCAACAGGCTCTGCCATTGTCGTAGTGGTAACGGAGAGAGTAGGGCTAGAGGAATGGTCTGTTGGATCTTGAGCCATCGGTCTTCTGGTACAACGATACGGTTGAGAGTCCTGATAAATCGAATGCCTAGAAATTGCAGATCTTGCGATGGTACTAGGTCCGACTTTTGAGTAAGTTTACTAACCATCCTAGCTGTGTTAGTAGCTTTATGATGTAATTTAACTGTAGTTTGAGACGCTGTGGATCTTGATCTACTTGTATCCCGTCATCGAGGTAGAACGCGACTCGCGAGCCCTAGACGATGTAGATAGATGACGATAGGGTTTCGTTATTCTTGTAAAATAGCCAGGGGCCGATGATATTCAATGGGAGTACTTTCCATTGGTAATGCAGCCCGCCTAGTGTAAATCGTAGGTATTTCCTGGATTTGGGATGTATCGGATGTGTAGATATGCGCCTTGCAGATCTATACTGGCCATGTAATCCATGGGACAAATTAACTGTCGTGAATTGAGGAAGATGTATCATGCGAAACGTTGGCGGCTTTGCGATAATCTGTTGAATATGCTCATGTTGTAAATGAGTCTGTATTTCTCCTTGGAGTTTTTCTTGGGTACTAGGAAAACTGGGGAGTAGAAGCCTGGTTCGACGCTTTATTTGATCTAGTACTTCTATGGCCTGCTTGGTTAGGAGAGATGTAACAGCCTCTCTTAACTTTGGTAGTTGTGCCTGGAAGTCGAACTTTGTGAGGGTTGACTGTCAGCTGGAGGCGTGGCCTGTAGTGGGATAATGATATCCGCGGTGTTGAAGAATGTTGGAGACATAAGGGTCTTGTAACATTCCCCCAGTTCTCCCAGTGTAGTTGAAGGCGTCCACCCACTTGTGACGGGTTGTACTGGAACAGCTGGGGTGGAAGACTCCAGTCGTTCAACCTGTCTTTCAGCTGTTTATAGTTAAGGGAACCTCTGGGTGCCCTGCCTCTTCCTGATCCTCCTCTGTAGTTGCCATATGGGCTTACTTTAAAGAATCTTTTCCCCTGAGCTGGCCATCTTCCTATCCCGGTGCTCTCTGTAATCCAGTGAATTTAGATCTCCCTGAATATCTTTGTGAAGTCTGCCTGATGACGCTGGCTAGCTGGTCCATCGACTTTATCATAAGGACTTCTCTAGAATCCTTAGTGACTAGAGACTTTCTCTATCCCTCCCGTCAAAGATGGATGGTGAGGACCACGGGGCTGTATAGAGTGGAGCTGTAAACTGCTCACCCCAGCTGCAGGAAGCGAGGAGGCCTTGATGACGAGCTAAGGTTAGCTTCGCTGAGACTGATGTGAGATGATCCGTTAGGAACTGCTGGTCCTTCTTTGCATCAGTAGGGCCAAGTAGATCATCCTATCATCTTCTGTGAAGTCGTGTCACGAAATCTGGTGATAAGAGTCTCATTGATCGCTCTAGATCTATTAAGGCCAAAGAACACATACGGCTCCGGCCATGGTTTCTATCTGAACCAGCTTCTACGATCATCAATCTTATAGTTCTTATTCTTGACATCGTGGATCATCTTGTAATTATCATCGATGTCTTGTGCCTTGGAGGAAGGGGGTCCATATTATGAGTTGAAAACTTCTTAGCGGAAAGTGTGGTAGGTGTGGCGCTTTGAACTTTCATGGCTTTATGGAAGGCTGTGTCCAAATTCTGTGGCACTGCCGCAATTGGGTCGATCGGAGGTAAGGTGACAGCGCCTGCATCGTCCCCTCCTTCATCAGGTAAGTATGCCGAGTTACCACCTTTGGAAGGTGAAGAAAGGTCTAGGTTGTTAACCATCCAATACCGTGATCTCAGCTCCTGAGAAAATGATGCCTCCATCATCTTCTACCACGGGATCGCTGATAAGAGGTTGCTGCTCTTCAGATGGTGGACTCTGTGCTTCTACCACTGTACAAGGTGACGTTAAAGGAGACCTGACTGTGGACTTCTGTGAAGACTTGTGTGGTGACTCCGCGTGGAGATCGACGTGGGTGATGTACGAGGAGATCGGTAGCGGTGAACGGGCGCAGGTGATCGGGCATGGCTAATGGCGCAGGGGATCGTCTTGGTGAACGGCCTGATGATCTGCGTCTATAGGTTGACCTTCGCGGAGATCTGTGAGGTGAATGTTGATAGCTTCGCGAAGCTCTTGTGGAATCCCTCGATGACCTTCTGGACGACGATGATTTAGAGCCTGATAAAGGTGCCCTCTGCGTCCGGGTCCTGGGGAACGATGACTTGACCTTCGCTGGCTTCTCATGAAGTCTGGTGGTCCGAGTCCGCATCTGAGGATGAAGGTGATGATCTATCCCGCCTTCGCGAAGGCCTTCGCCGGTGGCGGCTGTACATCTGGGTCCTTCGTCGAGGTGGTCTGTGACTTCCTTCGCTTAAGGTGGCTTCTGCCGTGGGCCGCCACGCTGACAGGGGGTCCCTCTGGGGTGTCGTTCACGCTGGAGCCTTCGCGAAGGCTCAGGTCCTGGGCTGGTTGTCTCTCCAGTCTGTAACGGTCCTCCATCATCATCATGATTTGCCGCATCAGGTCGTCTGGGACGGTCAACGACGATGTAGTTGGTGCCCTCTCTGCGATGTTAGCGACGGGGCCCTCAGGAAGATCGTCCGACATCGGTGTAGATACATCAGGCTGCATGGTGATCTGCGCTGACGTCACAGTTGCTGACACCGGTCGTCTCTTGTGGCGTAGGTCGGGGATGATGATCGGCTGGTCATCGTAGAGGCCCAGTTCAGCGGCTGGAACAATCTCGGCTGAGAAGGTTCTTGACGACTTCGTAGACTTTCCCTTGGAGGTAGACGCTGCCCTGGGGGTACGGAGTCTGCGTTGAGTAGATGTCGAGGCCCTCTTAGACTTTGGCTGCGACGACGGGATGTCTGGGGAAGCAGGACGCTTCTTGGAGGCGGCGGACTGCATCCCACGCCCCTCCTCCGAGGGAAACTCTAGCGGAACACCAGACAGGAGGGGGTCGTCCGACAGCAGCTGACTGGCTAGGGGTTCCGATGTATCGGCCATGTCTAACCCTTGTTTGCATGCGACCTATCTGCTGCACGTCTCTCAAGACGCAAAGATGATATTTATTAAAAGCAGAATTAGATAGATTAATACAGTAACTGCAACGTGAATCAAACGCACAAGGCGTAGTACAGCTAGGGCATATTACATGCGGGTCAGCAGCAGAAAAACGTAATCTACAAATAGTACAGATTCTCATCAACGTAAACTAGCTGAACAATCACGAAATCCCGTGAATAAACAGTAGAAATACGAATAATTATCAATACATATTAATGAAGGATACTAGCTACACCTCTATAGTAACCTATAGGAGGTAACTAACTAAGAATAACCAAAGGATATAGTGTGTAAGGAGACACAGGCGCTCACATCCTGGGAAGCATGAGGCCAGAAGGTGGCGCCGCCTTTCCCGCGCAGGGGCAAAGGGAGGCAACTCTTGGTGAGTACTAATTAGTGATTTTACATTGAAGGGAGCTTCAATTAAGGAGATACAAGTGTTCCACTATGTTCGCAAGAAGAAGAAGACAAGCAAAAGAGCATGAGTCAGGATAAGGAAAAAATAAAGTTTTAAGCCAGTCCCAAAGGCTGGGTAGCAGCAGTGTGCTGATGTTTGGGTATTTATTGAGGTTAATACGGCACTAATATATCAAAACCCACACGTCTAGCGAGGCGCGCAAAAAGCAATAATCCGAGGTGGCTGACGTCACCTTCTGGTGACACATGCGCAGACGAGTAGCATCCGAGACCAGGAAGTGATTGCAGTTCTACGTATTTTGACATCGTCTGGCAAGCCACGCTTTTCGAGCCGTAAGCAATAAGTGCAGGAAGTAAATCGTGCATGATTAGTTAAAAATGAGTTTGTTTCCTCTCCAATACTTTACTCAAAAACAAATGCCATTGAGCACATAGCACAGTAAGTTTGTAAGCAAACATGAGATTGGGTACCCCTTGCACCCAATTCCAAGTTCTGTTATCCCCAAAACTTTAAATATTGTACATTCTCTTTGAAGATTTCTATCTTATTTTCTGCATAAAATGTATTGCCACACATCTGGCGAAAATTGTTTTAACTCGAACATTGTACTCTCTAACCTGCAACTGTACATTTAATTTTCTAAATATACCTACTGAAAATGACGAAAAGAGATATAATATACTATCAACATTAATTTCTGCAGTGATACTGCTGTGAAATCAACCCTTTTGGTCAGAGGCAGCATATTACTATTTGAAAACCTCTGACCAATCAGAATCAAGCAATTTCCAAATTCATGGTCGAAAATATGTTCAGTCATACTATAGAACAAGGAATCTGAAATGTTTGAGTCGCTGAAAAAGATCAGCATTTCAACTCACCCTTAGCATGTGTCACTTTCAAAGTTTGCCGACCACTAACTGAAACAAAAAAGGCATCATTGTTGTTCCCGACCTTCCCAAGGCCATACACCTCGATCCTCACTCCCTTGTTCCCAAACAACATGAAGATGTGAGTGCCGGGCTTGTCCAGCCACAAGATCTTGGTCAGACAGTTATCATCGTACACAGCCACACAGATGGCAGCCAACTCCAGCTTGTCTTGTTTCCATGTCACTAACAGGGACTGTAGGGAGGCCTTCATCTGTTTCAGCTGAGTTGTGATGGTCTGACTGACACCAGTGGAGCTGGGGAGCCTCCTGTAGGGCTCTTCCACCCTTTGCTGAAACACATACAACGAAACCACTGACTGATGTTTTCAAGACTGACTATTAATCGCAGAGATAAAGTTAATTTATTCGTAAATAAAGATCCACACAAAAAATTGGAGCTAAGAACAATCCCCTCTTGAGTTGACGCAATCTAGACTTTGCAAAATAATTCTAGACTCAAGTTTGACTCCTATTTGATATATTCTCGGCTCTGCTAGATGGACTAGACAACTGGAATGCAAAAAAAAGATGATGTAACCCAGAAAAAATCTCTATGTTCATCAAATATCATCTTCTAAAATGCCAATCAAGCATCTGGAATGCATATGTTGTAGGTTAGGTTTGGTTTGGTTGTTTAATGCAGCACTCTGCAATATTCCAGCTATATGACCACGGTCTGTAAATAATCAAATCTTGACCAGACAATCCAGTGGCCAACAGCATGAGCATCGTTCTACACAACTGGGATATAATAACATGTTTCAACCAAGTCAGCGAGCCTGACCACCCAATCCTGTTAGTAGCCTTTTACAACAAGCATGGGTTGTTAAAGACCATTTCTAACCAGGATCTTTAGGCGTCACATCTGTGATCTGATCATTGCTTGTGTGCAATATTTAGATACTAAAAAGTACTAGAATTTGTCCTTTCCTAAGAAAGTGTAATCCCAAATATAACAAATGTTAATATTTAGATACCATTTTCTTTTGGTGTCTGCGACGCATAGGCCCCTGAGGCCATGGTGGCAGCTGAGGAACTGGATACTGCACCGAAGTGGGATGCTGAACTGGAGGTGGATGAGGAACCAGGAACTGTTGCTGAGGATACTGCTGTTGGGGATCTATTTCCTGAGGATACAGTTGTTCAGATAGATCACACCAGGATGCGGACCAATCTTGTGCAAACTGGATGTTGCACGGGGGGAACAGTTTGTTCCAAGCCCTCGAAATATGCAGATGGGTCAGTGTTCCATGTCAAGGACACGTCCTCAGTAAACTGCCAGTCGCTTCGTGGTGTCACTTGTCTAACACCATTCCAATACTGTGGGTGCAACTGAAGAACATAAAGGAAAAGTGTAAGGCTGAAAGAAATGAGTAAATAGTCGTTTTTGTAGAACAGTGAAAAGAGATGTGGTTTCTGCATTAAAATACCTGTGTCAGTGCACACTGAAATATGGCATCTTGGGGTAGTCAATAGGTTTCAAATTTAGTAATATTTATGAAACAAACTGCTTTGAGCATTATTGATGAAAATGAAAACAGTATCTCTCAGACTTATTGCATATGAGAAAATACAAAGCTTGCGGATTTCAAAATTCGAAAACAAAAGCATTCAGATTTTTTAATTACAAAAATAGCTTTTAGATTTATTGAGCATTACAAAAACACAATCTGTTTATGTTCAAATCTGAACATACCATAGTATTAAAAACAAAATACTGGATTTGCACATGAAATTGTCAGGCAATCTGTACATTACTGTTCTTAAACTTTATGCTACATACTCAGGTAAATGAACAGGAGGAAAAGAACATGAACAATTATAGTGATTGACCTTTTAACAAGCTCTTGAAATAATGGTAGTCAATAAAACCTTGTAAAAGTTTGACATGTTTCCCAGTTTCCCTGACAACTAGTTCTCATTAGGAGTGTAAAAACATATCAAACAATTGATGGATTCCAATCATTTGCCCCACAGTAGTACCGTATCAATAGAAATTTAAAATGCCCACAGTATTGTCACCGCTTTGAATAACATTCAACACTTAGAATAGTTGCGATGATTTATTAATTCAAAACCTGTCTGTGGGAGAATTTCAACTTCAGATTAGAGGCACTTCCATTTGGTTTGAGTAGAAACAGGACAGAAAATTAAAACTTTGAGATTGTCAGAAATAATTTGTTCATTTCAATTACATTCATTAATACAATACATAATATACTACAAACAAAAAGTATTTGATAGTCATATATAAACTTGGGAAGTCTGTCTTCCACATGCACTAGGTTGTTGTGTTTGGGCATTTGAATCAAACATGGCACTGGTGTGTTGCAGCACCCTTGTTTTTCTCAGTTTTTGACAATGTTTCATTTCACTCAACAAATATTGAATCAGTTTCTTCAACGCCTGTTCCAGCATGCCGTTTAAAGTGCATATTAATCACACACAAAGTTGCATTTACCTCAGAGTATAAATGACCTCACCACGTTAAGTGTATATATGACCATCAAATTTTAGGGTGTTCCCATACTTTTTGTTTGTAGTATATACTAAGCAGCAAAAGAAACGTCAGTTCGGAATTTTCCTTCGCAGAAACGGATAACAGTAAACTCATTCAATGTTTTGATCGTATATTTTTGACAACATCTCCAACTTTACCTGAGCAGAGACATTCCTTCCCAAACTCAGAATGGAACCCAGGAAATGGTCTCAAAAATGCAACCTGACCTCAGAGATGGTACAGTGTTCTCCATGTCAGTCATGCAACTCATGCTACACCTGCTGTTCACAAGGACCAGCCCTATAAAATGCACCCCCAAACCTGGTTGAAACATTCACATTACAATGTCAGCAGGATGCCTCTTCTCACCTAAGCTCAGAGGAATCAGGCGCTAGGAAGACTTGAAGCTGGCCACACTGCACAAGCCGTTGCCAATCACTTCCAGGTCAACGTTCGGACCATCTACAGGCTGCAGCAACGTTTCCGGGCCACCAACACCACAAATGATCGCCCCCGTACTGGCAGACCAAGGGTGACCACAAGACAATAAGACCGCCATGTTCTGCGACAGCATTTACAGAATCCCTTCATGCAGGCATCCGAAACAGCACGCCAGACAGTGGGAACACACGGAAGACCAATCAGTACCGATACAGTACGCCAACGTCTTAACAGTGGAAACCTCCATTGCCGAAGACCTTACCGTATACCTATCCTCACCCCTCGTCATCGGCGTGAACGTCTACAGTTTGCCCTACAACACCAAAACTGGCGATACAGGCAATGGAGAACTGTTCTGTTCACAGATGAGAGGCGGTACTGCGTATCAACTGCAGATGACAGAACAAGAATATGGCGACGACGTGGCCAGCGTTACTCAGACCAATGTGTAATGGAAAGAGACTAGGAGGTGCATGATATGGGGTGGAATAGGCCTGAACCAGAGAGTTGGTCCTGTGGTGTTCCAGAACCTTAGTCCAGGGAGAGTAGGCGGCATCACAGAGGTGCGCTACATCGACCAAGCTCTCAGACCCCACGTCATACCACATTTCGCACGTCACCGGAACAACATTTTCCAGCATGACAACGCCCGGGTCCATACTGTCAGAGCTACACGGGACTTCCTACAGCAGAACCGTGTCAACATTATGCAGTGGCCAGCCCTTAGTCCTGATTTAAACACAATTAAACACAATTGAACATATTTCGGATGAAATTCAGAGGAAACTGAATAATGTCATACCAAGGCCAAACACAGCCGATTTATTGCGCCCGACTTTCTCAGAGTGTGGTTCAAGGTGCCAATGGCCTTCATCAATCTATTGGTGCACTCCATGCATAGACGCTGTGCTTCAGTTATTGCCACTCGTGGTGGTCACACTAGATACTGAAGTCAAGAGTCTGAATGGACTGCAAACGTTCACGTAATGTCTTGGAATTGTGCTGAGTTATTCATGGATGTGTCACGATATTGTACACAAAAAATGTGTTTGATCTGCTTATTATGTCCATTTCTGTAATGATTTGATTACAGTGCCTATCAAATTTTGAATTCGTACTGATGTTTTTTGCTGCTGAGTATATACATTATGAAGCTGGTTACTATCAAAAATACCATTGCAAAAGTGTACTTGTGAAATAAGATCACAACAGTGAAAATAGCCCCAATTGTCACCTTATATAGAAATATTGAGACTGCAATGAAATCATGGGTCAGTCATATCTTCAAAGGCAGTTTAGATCTTGCTCATGCCGCACAAGGTACACAACAAGTAGATTTCAAGAATTATCCCTTACTCACCCTTTCTGAATCCCAGGAGTTATCTCCCATGTAACCGTACCCCCTATCGGTAGTGTATGATGGATTCTTCCGGACCGGTCTGAACCGGTGGGGCAGCATCTGTGAAGACCTCATTGGGATATGGCTGTCTGAACCTGTGGTGAAAGAGCCATGGTTGTGCTCGTCTGGGAGAAGCTTCAAATCTTTTCATGGTATTGTGGTTAACCATGTTGTATTGGTTAGTGATGTAGTCCATGTTGGAGATGTTGCACCAGTTTAAGGAGAAGTCTGTTTGTAAGGGAATCCTGAAAGGTTCCTGAAAGTACACATCCAAGTCACAATAGCTACCATTAGTGAAGAGTGAGAGAACGAGTATGGTTTTATGCCCCTTTAACAATATTCCAGCAATATCACGGTGACAGACACCAGAAATGGGCTTCACACATTGCACCCATGTGATGAATCGAACCCAGGTCTTTGGCGCGATGAGCGAACGCTTTAACCACTAGGCTACCCCACTGCCCCTCATTAGTGAAAGAGTTATACGAACTGGCATTAGAATTTAATACCTCTCCAAAAACAAAGGATCATCATCACTTGTCTGCTAAGATTGAGTAAATATATAGTTCAAGATGTGAGTATGAGAGGTTCAATTGAGTAAGTGAGTGAAGTTTAGTTTTACACCGCACTCAGCAATATTCCAGCCATATGGCGACGGTCTGTAAATAATCGAAGTCTGGACCAGACAATCCAGTGATCAACAGCATGAGCATCGATCTGCGCAATTGGGAACCGATGACATGTGTCAACCAAGTCAGCGAGTCTGACCACCCAATCCCGTTAAGTCACCTCTTACGACAAGCATGGGTTACTAAAGATCAATTCTAACCCAGGTAAGGGAGGTTCAATAATCAGGCATTTAAACATTCATGCATTTGGCATGATATTATTTTGGTCATTAGATATTAATGTTTGGTCCACAGTTAGCTGAAAATATCAGCTTCCTCCCTGCACACCCTGTAAGACATCATCTTAGGATAACTTATACAGAAAAGTCAGTATAGGTCTTAACATATGTATTTTGGTATGCTCTGTGGAAAGAGTTCCTTCTGTTCCAAATACATTTCCCACTTCTTTCTTCCACAGGTTAACAGTGGTAAGGCAGTGTGGTTCGACCCTATATATGGTAATTAATTTTGGGGCTTTTAGTAATTTTTGTGAGTTCTCTGGTAATTGCTGTGTTAGGTTTAGTTAATAATTTTAGCATATATTAATTTATAAATATTATTTGGGATGGGGGAACGGGAGGAACTCTTACTATTGTTTTATACAGTATTCCAGTTATATAATGGCAGGTCAGCTTAAGGTGGGAGGAAAACATCTAAATCCAGTGAGAGTGAATGAGCGAGTTTGGTCTTACCCTGCTTTCATCAATATTCCAGCAATACCATGGCAGGGGGCACCTGAAATGGGCCTCTCACTTTGTACCCATGTGGAGAATCGAACCCAGACCTTCATGGTGATGAACGAACGCTTTACCCACCCCCCTCTAAATCCTGCCTAATGCTTACCGATTTTGAATATATATAATTTTGATAGAAACAAACAATTCCTTTTAAATTGAGAAGTGAGAACCTGAGCAAATCTTGGTTCATTTAGAGCTTTAGCATTGCAGAAAGGACTGGGCAGAAGGGATAATGGTGGGTTCAGGGACAGGAGAGATGATAATATAAATCTACTGACTGACTGACTGAGTTTGGTTTTACGCCGCTTTTTGCAATATTCCATCAACATCACGGCGGGGGACACCAGAAATGGGCTTCAC